CAGATAGAGAAAATTTTGCAGATTTTTCTTTCTCTTTTTCTTGAAGAAGAAAATACTGATTTATTTTCAACTTTTTTTGAACAAATGAGAAGACTATTGAACCTTGCAAACGACATTCCCCAAGTGTATTCTTTTTTTCTTTTTAATTCTCTTTTTTAAACTAGAAATTATTTTATACACTATGAGATCTAAGTTTTGAAAATTTTCACATTACAGTCAGTTCATTAACTTGTGTTTTCAACATTTTTATTTTGTGTGAACTGGGAAGCCAGAGAGTGTCATCCAAAGTTATTTCTACTCAGCATATATCACTCCTGTGCCTTTTTTACTCAAATTATATTTTGTTTTACCTTTGAAATACATTTCAAAGCTGTAACATCTCTGAAGATTAGCGTTATTTGTTTCTTCAGGGTTGGACTGCGAGCTAAAATAGGCTAGGTAGTGTCTGTTAAGTAGAAGATACTGCTTAGTAGTTCAAAGCAGAAATAAAATTCTAGAACTACCCATTTTTATACGTTACTTCTTTTCTTTATTGACGTGATATTCCAAGTTCTCTTCTCAACCTACAGCCACAAAACATGCTCTGCCTGTGTCGAGCTTTTGGAACAGAAGAGATGAACTGGTGAAGATTACCAGAGCCATGAAGACCAATTTGTGTGGAAACCACTGTGATATACAGTGGTGCAGAAATCATTCAGCTCTCTGAGTCCGCTAACCCACATCTCTGAATGGCAGGGTGCATTATTTATAGCATTAGTTCTGCAGAACTAGTGTAGATGACTCTTTCCTATGTGTTTCCTTCCAGGGAACATTCAGACAAGTCTCATTTATAGACACAACTTTGCAGCTTTACCAACATCAAATTCTGTCTTTGTTTACAACAGTGCAGTTGACAGGGCAAGAGAAACAAAACTAACAAACCTCAGATATTTCACCAGATTATGGAATGTAAATTTCAGCAATTATAAAAACTATAGTATGACTTTGCAGACTTGGGTGATGACTGTGCAGTGTGATAAAATACAAATTAAAAAAAATACTGTCTTGTGATACAGAAAACTACTGGGGCACAATTAATGTGGAAACCTACAATTATATTTTACTAGCTTAATTTTTCATCTAGTCTAGTTCATCTGGAACTAAAGGAGAGTTGGAATTTTAAAAAGTTACACCACATTTCTTTACCTGTATATGTCAGTAGTATTGTAAATTTAAATCTTTCAAATGCAAATTTGCTTGAAAAGATATTTACCTAGAAATCCCATCTAGAATTTCAAATATAACAGTATTGTGGAGGAGGAAACACACAAACTTTCCCACGGTAAAAAAATAAAAGTAAAGCTAATTTTACATTGCAATAAGGAAAATGTGAAGCCTAAAATTTGTTGTGGAAGCTCTGCTCCAGAGATGTTCGCAAAACATGTTTCTCCATCTATTTTACTCTCATTCAAGGGGCACACTTACCAGTCACAGCTCAACACAGTAGAGAGCTGGGAAGATGATGTAAGAACGATGAAATCAAATTCAGAGGTAGTCAGAACAATCACTCACTCTTCTCTTTCTGGGTGAACTAACAGTGTCTCAGCATCACAAGAAAACTCCTGATTTATACTCTCATTTTTCTTCTAACTTTTCTTTTAGGTCAAGCAAAACATTTCAACCCAAAAGAAATTTGTCATATACACAGGGGACTTTAGGCTCAAAAAAGCAGCTTTTAGTTTTATTCTTTTTTTTAAATATTCAGGTAAAGTTAGGGTCAGAACAAAACAAAGGTGCATATTTGATGACTCAGTCATACCAAAATTTTGCAAGACTAACATGGTAATGGTGGGAATTGCAACATTAGAGTTATTCTTAAGAGAAAATGATTATACTCTGGGACTCTTCATTCAGAGTCTCCAGCTGTTATTCCTTTGTGAGAGTAAAGGTAATCTCTACTGTGTTTTGCCTCTTCATCCCAGTTTCTCCATTTTATTCCACTTTGGGAAGAAATCATTGCTACCTCAATCAAATGGTGAACTTCTTGGAGCGTGGAATAGATACTGTATTATGAGCTTAGCAGAGCCTGCTAAAATGTAGTATCCCCCAAACTCTACCCCTTTCTGCACTGCAAACTAAAAGCAATCTATTGAGTCAGAACCAGAATTTGAAATTCTAGAATCAAAAACCCATGTATTAATTTTCTTTAAGGTCTGGAGCTCATCTCTAATACTGTACAGATGCAACCATTTAAAAATAGAGTTCTGCTGTAGCTCAATGCATTCACAACAAGAAATACTAACTGAAAATATAATCATGTCTTGTCTTAACACTTAGTTAATAAAGGCTGTTTATTTATACAATATATTTTAAGCCAAAATTTCTAAAAACAGTAAGAGGATTTTTCTTTCCTGTTTAAAACTACTGTAGATGTTAATCAATAAGATCAGTGATGTTTTAAACACGTTATTCATGCTGAATAGTTAGCTGGTTTATGCCAATTTGATGTTTTATAGAAATGACAAACACTTTGACATCCAAACAATGTGTAGGGCTTCTCCAGATGCTTATTAACCAAAACAATTAACAGATGCTTATCTTTCTGTTGAAAGTTTTCCAAAATTGGTCAATCCTAGAATAAGAATACAAGAAAAAAAATATTAGTAAGACTAAAGGGAAATTTCCTTCACATAAATTATTTTTGGAACTTAATTAAGGAAGAGAGGGAGTAAAAACTACTAAAAATTAAAAATAAACCCCATATAATTTGAGGAGAATTTTTTTAACAGCTCTTTTTATTAATCTAAGTATGCTCCATTGTATTTATATAAAACAAATAAACTTTTTTTCCTAAAAAAGTATTTTTGCCATATTCAAATTTCAGCTACACAAGTAAATATTGTTCTGCATGTGAATTGCAATTAACTTGTAAACATAAAGCTCAAAGACAATACTTAAGTTCAATATAGCTTCTCTTTTATAATGTTGATTTTTACTACATTATATATAGATTCTACCAGTTTCATTCATTATTTCACATGCTATATCACTGTCTAGTAATTCTACAAGAAAAACAGTTATGATTTAAGCTTCCACAAGTTATACGCATTCATAACTTGAGTCTGAGTAAATGCCTTCAAATATCTTCATTTTGGTATCATAAGGTTCCGTGAACTCAGAAGTGCTTGGGATGTGTTACTCTTGGGATAGAAAAGTGATATTTATTGACATGGACTGAAAAAGGCTTTATAGTGAGTTATCCTTTTTAATGTAAGAAACAAAGATTTCACTTGTGATATAAACCCTGCAATATGAGAATTAGGTTTCCAAGATGCAAATGGCCAGGGTGCTAGCTCATCTCATCTAGACTCCCTTTCCTACAGAAGGTTGGACCAGATATCTTTCAAAGTGCCTTCCAACCTAGGCTATTCTATGACTCTATGTTTTATATGATTTTATTAATTAATCTATCTCAGTGCAATTTCTACCTACACCCTTCTTGAACAGGTCTCTATGCAACTAGTTCTGTTAGCTTTCTGCTGCACTCAATACTCCAGACTATCTCCCTTTTTCCTTTCACTTGGGGACATATATGTGGATATTTTGACAGCTAGATCTGTAAGAAATGTCAAGTTGAGATGGAAAATCTGACAGTGAGAGAACAGTACTAGGATTGAAAAAATCATGGGATTGGGAAGATTACTGCTGAAGTCTATGGGGGGATAATAATTATAAAAGAAAGAAAGTTAATATAACACAGAATATGGGAAAATAACCAGCAACAAATGATCAGAATTATCATCTAAGCCTTTACTCCCAAACTGTGAAGATATAGAGCATGTGACAGAGAAGTACAATGAAATAAATAGTAATATTTATAAAACATAAAGATAAAAGACTAGAAAATGCTTTTGTAATCTTTAATTTTCTTCCTATAATTTCCCTATTCCTTGCTTTGTTGTTGTGTCTGTTTGTTGTAACCATCCAGAGTGTCTTTACTGCTTCTCAAAAAAAAAAAAAAAAACAACCAGCCCTTTCTGTCTTCTCATCATTTCCTCTGGTCCATCCTGCTTCCTCTTTTATACTAAAACTCTGATTTTTTATCTCCATTCTTCATGAATTCTTTAATGTGCTTCCTCTACAGCCTTCATTCTGTCCCATGCACTGTTTTGGGCTCCTTTTCTACTCCAAAACCTTTTAATGTTTCTTTTTTCTATTCCTTAACACGTCTTCCTTTCTCTTCTCTGCCTAATCATCTGCTCATTCCCTATCCATTGTTCATTTTCAAAATGAGTTCACTCATTTGTTCATTTCTATTTATATTCCCTAGTTCCTATTAACCAATGAGCTTTTAAATGTTCATTTATAAATCAACTTTTATATCCATTATTTCTCCGCTGGACATAGTGAGATGTCAACTGTCAGCCACTTTCTACAACATGACATTCAGTCATCCAGGAACTGTCTCCCATTAATTCTTTTTATTATAGACATTTTTTTCCTTCTTTCCCATGTGCTAACTCAACTGTTCTGCTTCACTGAAGGACTCCTGTTGACTATCTCAGTCTTGCTATGATTCCCACTGAGTTTACTGCACTTCCTCCACTCATGTTTTTCTTTACTACTAAAGATTATTTGCAAAATTAGTTTTTGCCAAATTAGTACATGCTTTGCATTATTTGGAGTTGGTATTTTTTCTAGAAAACAATTATGGATATTATCAGATTTAAATCTCTGTTAAGATATTATTCTGAGGTAAAGCAAGAGTATGTTTTCACAGCAGATACCCTATTGCACAGAACCCTAAGGCAAAATACTGATCATAAACATCAATATTCTTCATATTTTGCAGATACCTCTTTCCAATTTTGGAATATCAATTTTTTTTATCAAATAACAATTTTTGTGTTGCTTAATTTATTTCTTATTTACTGTTCTCCAGTAAATAAGTAATAAGCATATGTTATGCTGAACATTTTTAAAGGAGTGTTAAAAGTTGTTATATTACAAAATCTACTTGCCTGGATGTTGTCTTTGCAGATGCCCAGAGATGGTGATTGGATGTCTTGTTACAGATGGCTGTGGGGAAGGTGATGTAAATGGATACAGCTGAGGGGTTCTGAAATCAGAAGTAGCCCATGACCCCCTTCTACTACTTTGTGATCCAGATGATGGTGTAAGTAAACTTAAACTCTGTGGTAATCTTATAGGTGTGGATCTGTTAATGAAATTAATTAATGGATATTATTTGAGGCTACTTTCATAGTACAAGACAATTCAAAACCAATTAGATTCATAGTATTAATACATTAATACAAAATTCTATAAATTATTGAGTTCTACAAATTCCTTACCAGATTTTTTACTTCTTTAGGAGTTTTAGTCATTTGAAAAAGCAGAAAGACAAAAACAAATTTTATGATAATCAGAGGAAAAAAATTAATATTCTGTTATATATATTTTAAATTTGTGCTAGGAAGATACATTTGCATTAATGGTTATAGGAAACATGAGCTTACTATTTTGGAATAATTTAAAGTTTTTTCTCGATGTTGGTAATTGGCACAGTTTGAGATGTTTTCAATGTTTAGATGAAACACATGAAACACCTGCTATATGCTGCATGAAGATGTTCATATTATTCAGAGAATAGCTCTCGTGTAGATATTCTGTTGTAATTTCTGATTTTTAGGATTATAAAGGTGATATATTGTCACAGTTTCTGACTATGAAGTTGCTACCCTTGGTATAAAAACACCATGACTGTCGATGTCCACAGCTACAAGAAGTCAGATTGTCTCTGCACATTTCTGAAGAAAGCATTGTCAAAATAAAATCTCCCAACAGTAACAAACACATTCCTATAGGTGATCATTAGCCTGCACATTAACACTTCTTCAGATATCAAATATAACCTTTAAACATACAGATGAATATAGGTCAGATGAGAAATTTCATTCTCTTACATAGGAGATTGTAATATCTTGCAAAGGTATTTAATTACCTTGCAGATCCTGGTCTACTATTTTCACTTGACATTATTCCAGATGACTGAGAACTTCTGTAGGACACACTACCTGTAAGAATCGAGTTTTTGGAACCAGGATCAGTATGAAATACACATATTACTTAAGACATTGCTTTGGAAACAAAGATTAGTACTTCAATTGCACAATTTTAGACAAATTCATGAAAGATTTTTTCAAGAATAAAAAATGGTGCACAATTGCAATGAAAGATAAAGAACTGGCTGAGAAAATAAAGTCACCATGTCACTTGACAAAGCATTAAAATAGCCCTAAAAATTAATAATGTGGTTTTAAAATTTAACACAGGCAAGACATTTGCTGAGACATGAGTTGTCTCACAGTACCTCTTACTGGAAGAAGACTCAGAAAAAAACCAAACAAACAAACAATTAAAAGTCCTTAGCTTTTCACAGGATAAAAGTGAAAAATTGTCTTTAGTCTCAGTAGATTAATCCTACACAGAGCTTAACTGTCATGAAAACATCATATTGCACCATCCTGAAATCTTTTCCGGGTTAAACACATACATTGGTTTCTTTCACTATCTCTCATTTCTTAGACTATTAAAATATCTGAACAGCTCTGCTGATGTGCTCCAGTTCTTTTCTGCCCTGTCCATCTCTGAGAAGGAAACTTTCTTTAGTACGCCACGAAATCATTTTTTCTACTTGTCCTTAATTCAAGGACACTGATTCATTCAGCTTTGTCCCCTACGAAACTTTATGGGTTGATTCTGAAATGTCCTGAACACATAACTGTTCTACATAGAATTTTACTGTCTAATTAAATGTCTATTTATATTTAGACACAATAAGAAAACAATTAACCTTGACTCTCACTGTCTTGTTATCCATATAGGCAAGCACACATTTAGGATGGATCTGAACCTACAAATCAGGTATAACAGAGAAAACAATTTTTGCTCCTTCATTACAATTGCATTTGTCTTTGTTTTGGGATGTTTACATCATACAAAAAGACAAGAGTGCCAAAAGCTCCTTATGTAAGTAGAGATGGGTTCTATTCACTGCTGAAGCTTGATGAAGGACTGCCTGGGAATGGTCTGTTAGAGGAACAGGCTGAATGTAAAAACAATAATGGAAAGAACACATGAATGGTAGACCTGCAGAGCATTAGGAATTCAGGGAAACTCCTCACAAATAAACAGTACTCAAGGACACTCCACTAATTTTATTATACTGTTATTCATGTCTTATAACATCAGTGTTATCCAAGCTCTGCAACAGCCCAGGAATGAAAGGAAGTACAGAAATACCACCTTTCTGAAGAGATCCTTGATCTCAACTTGATTATCTTGTTTTTATTAGGAAATACTTTGTAACCTTCATTTAAATTTCCCCCTTTCCCTCATGTAATTTTTAATATGACATTATGGGCAGTGCTAATCTCTGGTAACTATAAACAAATGTAATTATGAAGGTTAACAGAGGCTCAACAACATGTATTGCCAGTATGCCTGTTCTGTTCCACCATACACATCATTACAGAATTTTCTTTGCAACTATGATTGCTCAGCAAAAATAATTTTGGTTACAAGTAATTATTTGCAGAACACAGTAGGTCAGTACTAGGAAGACTTAGCTCATTCTTCATTTTTAACTCTTTACCATCTGCTGGATTATGTCTACATGATAAGTTCCTTATATCTCAACACAACTCAATTTTGCTCAGTAAATTGCTGAACAATCTAATTTTATTTATCAAACCTCTTAACACAATACAAATGTTGCCCAGTTACAAATTTTATTTTTACTCACCCATACGTCCATCTTGTGGTGGAGTTATTAATGACAATCTTGCTGGACCGGTCGGTGTCTCAGGCTAAATGGATGGCAAGATGTTAATTACAGTGTTATAAGTATGTGAATTCTTAAGTTATTTTAAGCAATTATGTTACATTTTTGAGGTCTACAAAGCCTGTATTTTTCTGGTGCTCCTTGTTACCAGTTTTGTTCATAGCACTAAAATGCAAAAATCTCAGAATTAAGTTACTGTTTTTTGAGATCTATAGGATGAGAAGGAAAGTAGAGGTAATTTAGTTCTATTCCAGAAAGTCCTCTCTGTCATGTTCAGTTAAGAAAAATATCACATCATCTTCTGTGCTGAGATTCCATTCTGAAGCTAGCATCTGTTCCTGGATGTAATCTCTCCTAATCAGAACACCAATACAGAGGAAAGCTCCTGCCTTTATTCTCATATTAAAAATGTCATTCAAAGCTTGCAATTCCCTACTCAGACATCAAGTGTAGACCATTGACTTCTATACCTAGCTTTTTGCTAACGTGTGAAAGTATTATACACACACAAATGTCCCTAGGCATAGACAGAAGCAAGGTCACCTGGTCAAGCAACAAGCAAAATTGTTTATGAAAGACAAAAGATAATGACTGGCAAAAGATGAAAGATAATGACTGGCTTAATTTGTGGCTTAAAAAAAGCTTTTATCCATCAGAAATGAAATTTCAGGAATGTTTTGAAAATTCGTGTAATGTGAATTTGAGTGTCAAGTGATTTATCTCATGTAACTTCAGACATCTGCAATGACAGTGTTCATATCCAGCCTGATCTCCTGAAATTCATTTTATGGTCAAGAAAGTTAAAGAGGAATGGAACCAATAGCTTTCCTTTAGGGTGAGGTGAATCACTTGTACTAGTCCATGGGTCATACCTATGGATATAGAGCTATCTACAGACATAACCCATCCATAGGGTACCAAGGAACCCCTGAGATGCTAGCACAGGTCTGCACTGCAGGCACCTCCATGTATTCTGGTGCTGGTGGAAATCTTACATTTACATATTTCCATTCCTTAATTTATTAGAACTTAAATTTAACTGCAATCCTCAGCTTCATGCATTAACAAATTTATTTTGGAAATAGCTACATTTTAAATGTACTATATATACACATAATATAAACATACTGAAATTTCAGGAATTTGCCATTTAATTTAGTGTAAGAAGTTTCAAGGCCTGTTAATGACATGTAGAGAGTATAATTTCAGAAATTAATGTTGTGACTGATTCTCTTTTTTGGGAGCATCTGACTAAGAATGAAGCATAGCTGAAAACAGCATGTATGTGAGAATTGTTTTGAATGGGGGGCATCCCATTTTTTTTCAGTATTAACAGAGTAGGAAAAATCAAAAGCATGTGTATATATACATAAACATCTAAAAAAAAACCCACTTACTTTTCTCATTGGTGAAGGTGCAGGATCAATCTCCATTGAATCCATTCTTACAACAAAGGTCAAAGTAAGCATGACATTGTAATAAAAATAACACATTCATTTTTAATTACTAATGATTTAGCAATTTTAATGACTAAAATTGCATTCCATTGTCATTTTAAACTGACTAACAATGGAAAAACACATACTCATAAACACATATGAGTATTTAGAACTCCTAGGAAAAAGAATTTATTCTGAGCTTTGGTTTAGACATTTACAGAGAAAGGTCTTTTTGTGATATGCATCGTTATTGAATTAAGTCAGAATAAATGTGCATTTTTATATATTTGTTACTTGTCTCCATAACAAGGGCATTCTGAAATATTATTTTTTTATAAAAAATAAAGAAACAGTCACAGGTATAGAAAACTTTTAGCTTGATTAAGCTGTATGTTCAATATATTTAAAATTTAGTAAGTTCACTGGCGTTCATCCAATCCAGCTAGACAACTACAGTGTACATACAGATGTCTGTACAATTAATTTAGTTTTTGTCTACAGCCAATGGGAAGAGTTCCTCACTAATTAATCTATATACTCACCCAGAAAGTCTCTAGAATATGGTACATCATGCCTTAGAATTTTTCCCAGTGAGTACAAAAGCAACCTACAGAAGTATTTATTATATACACTTGGATCGATAAGACCCTCCCTAGTTCTTTCATACTTGTACATTTTACAGAAACAAAGCACAAAATTAAAAAAATATACTTATTTTAAACTCACTACAGAAAAATTTTTGTTTGCTGTCACTGTTAAGACTGTCACTGAAAATTAAGAGATTTGTACCTACATCTCAGAAGTGGAAGGATGACTAGGATGATGAGAACATGAAGAACAAGCATTCTGTTTTCTTGAAGGAACTAAAGTAATTAATAAATTTAATATTAGAACACAGCTATATGCAGTGATATGTCTTCCACAGTTAGTATCTTAAACCAACAATTCTTACTGGAAAGTGGATTTCTACTTGTATTGGAAAATGGTAGTGGTGTAGTTTTTTCAGGAGGTTTCATACTAGAGGGGAAACAGAAGAAACAACAGACATAAATGGAGAGCTGGTTTGGTTAGCTCATTTATCTAACTAGTCAATAGAGCATATAAAAGCATTTTATCTATCAATAGCTGGCTTTAACATGACTCTATTAGCCATGAAACAAAATAATAATGTTTGACAACCTATTAACTTCTTCCCTGTATCATAATATTGATATCAGTCATTAGATGCCCAACAATATCAATTTAGGGTAACACTATAGCAAAGTACTTTATGGAACAACAGATGTTAAAATACAACTATTAACTACAGTTGAGCCAAAAATCCTCATTCCAATGTACACATTTTCAAAGCCTTAATAAACCTTGTTATCAAAAGAGAGTAGCCCTAGATCACACTCCTGGTGGAACTATGAAAAAAGTGAAATTCAGTAAGAACTCTGTATTGGGTATAACCAAGATGCTATTTATTTGAGATGCAGGAAAGAAAAAGGAGGCAGTGAATAAAAATATTTAACTATAATAATCCACCACACGCATAGTTTCCTTTCTACTGTTTTTCTTTCAGCTATATTACACCAAGCAGCATAAGACAGCATAATACAGTATTAAGTACACATTAGAGTCAAAAGTAAGTCTACACTGAAAAAACACAGAAAATGAATAAAGATAAACCACATTTTTCAGTTAAATTGCTGGCTTCATGAACTGGCTTATGAAGGAGATTTCTGCACCCCTGATCGCTGGTGTTCATAAAGTGACATTCATGAAGGGCTCCTCTCAAGAATATGGATCGACAAGGAGAAGCACATTGTAACTATACACTAAGGACTCTTCATACCCAGATTCGGTAGAAGGCAAAAGCAGCCCAAACCCATTAGGGTTTTTTCCCAGTAGTTTTTGAAATCTTAGAAAATGGGAAGGATGAAATAGGACAAAGGAAACATTACATGGAAAATGTAATCATTTCACCATAGGCAGATGACAGGAGAGCAATCTGACATCTTCTTTGTTGTTTCTTATGTTCTGATAAACAGATTTTCTTAAACAGCAGTAAGTAGTACTTTTTTTCTGCATTAATTTGATTTAAACATTATAATGCTATATATGCCATGTGAACTTTAAAGAAGAGATGAGAGTGATTAATTCAGCTAAGTATACCATAAATAATGTTGAAAGGGAAACAACAACAAAAAAGGGTGAATAGAGTGCAGAAGTGTTATTAGTGATGTCCCCTTCAGTTTAGTCTTGCAACTGATCCCGTTTAATATACTCCCTGATGACTCAGAGATAGCTCACAGTTTGTGAAATCTAAAGACAGAAAGTTCTGAAGATAGAAGGTTACATCAGTATTGAGGAGAAATACGTAATGATTTTTAAAATGTGGTATTTTCAAACAAAATTTGAAATAAAATTTAATTAAATTAAAAGTAATAGAACAGAGTGCATTTAGGGATCGATAAGAACTTTGGTTTTAAGTTGGAAATAAATAATATGAAAGATTAAAATGTATCAATCAATGAGCAGGGTGATTAAGATAACCTCTTAGCATCTCTGATGCATTTGTGAAAAAAGAATCAGGAAGTTATTTTTATTAGAAACAAAGATGAGAATCATGTTACAAAACACTGATATGTGGGCTAGATACTAGGAAAGTTTTTATACTGCCTTCAAGGGTGAAGCCCATTGGAAAAAACACAAAGATGTCCACATAAATGCAAATAAAAATTTAAAAACTGAACATCTATATTTTAAGAGTAACTACAGACTTGAGTTTACAACTAAAATGATTCTTTCCTCACAAGCTTGATTCATATTAAGAAATGGACCTGATGATGGAAATCACTGTTCATTTATTTCTGTAAAACTCTGCTGCTTCTATTTATACAGCACAATATATGAGTAAAACAAAGAATTACTTTTTAATTGTTTTATCAATTAAATGTACTGTTGTCTGATTACAAAGACTATTTCTCATTTACTTTTGCTGCAATAAACCCCTTACCATTGTATCTGGTGCATTTGTTGTGTTGCTTTCTTGAGAGCTTCTTCCAACTTTACCGTCTGTGAGATAATCAAAGATTTAAACACAATCTCTTTGTGTGATATACAGCTTCATTTTCATACAACTCGCATTCTGCAGTGTTGTAAGGCTGTTTTCTATTGGGTTTAATGTGAGATATCACTGCTATTCCAGATTTATTGCGACAAGACTAGAGCTATTACAGGGATCCATTAAAAAGTCAGTCTGAAAAGGAGATGTTTCTTTTTGGCAGTTAGAGACTTAGTTTGATTACTTTTTGTTAAGCTTGCTGGTAATATTGGATGAATGAATACTAAGAAAAGTGCTTAAATACAGTTTGCTTTTATTTTTCTTCTCTTTTCCATATCTGGTATAAAAGTTACATTGCATTTAATATGGAATTATCTGGAAAAGATACCAGTAACTGTCCAAAATACCAATTATGTTCTCATATTTCTCATTTCAGATTCAAAATTTATTCAGTTCTTTGCAGTATGTATTTGCAGTGAGCTTATGTGGAGCGCATTTCCTATTGTTTTATAGACAACCAAAAATATCTCCATAAAAGAATGTTAAGAGCTTTCAAAATTGGAGAACATTAAGGTCAAGAATGTTAGGTCAGCTCCCTAGTATGTGTATTTTTTACAGTCTTTCATTAAATGACTATACATTATATTTTATGAAGGATGTAAAAATTTACTCAACAGCATCAATACTCCACCTATATTTTACCCTTAATTTCCATTGAATGACCTTAGTCCTTCATTACTTCGCAGTATTCCTATTTTGATTTGAAGACAAATTATGAATTTTCCTGCTAACTTTTCATACTTCTCCTTGCAATATTATTTGTATTATTTAATAACATTACCTGATTTACCTTTATAAAAATTCTATTTTTTTGTGGGAGATACTCTACTCTTTTTGCAGATATGAAACTCCGCAAAACAGATTAAAGACAAAATCTAATTTATGTAAGATTTGGGCATTTGTATTCTTTTATCTTCTTCCTAATGAAAGGTAGATCTGATTAAGAAACGAACAATGTACTTAACCCTTTTCATACTTCTCCTTGCAATATTATTTGTATTATTTAATAACATTACCTGATTTACCTTTATAAAAATTCTATTTTTTTGTGGGAGATACTCTACTCTTTTTGCAGATATGAAACTCCGCAAAACAGATTAAAGACAAAATCTAATTTATGTAAGATTTGGGCATTTGTATTCTTCTTTTATCTTCTTCCTAATGAAAGCTAGGTCTGATTAAGAAACGAACAATGCACTTAACCCTCTCACTCTTTAGGACTGGATTATTTTAAGGCCAAAATGCCTTAAAGATGTTGAATAACTATTAGGTTTTCAATATCTTGGAGTCCTAGTAGAACACAGGTTCTAGACTTGCCAGGAATATGGACATCTAGTGTCCACACCACACACCATCTTCAGCACCCTGGAATCTGTATAACTCACAGAAACAGCAACAAAGAAGCCTTTATCAAGGCCATGAGAGTTGTAGGTTGACAGAGACTAGGGTGGCATACTAGAAACAAGGAAGGGGACCACAACCATGATCACTAAGCACAGAACCTGGATGTGAATTTCTTTATGCAGCACTCCACCTTTCCCAAAGGCCAAGACCTTAGGAGTGGAGAGTGGCAGGAAGAAGAACTTGTGTCGAAGGTTAGATTTGTGCTTTCTCACCTCCCTGGGGATCATTGCTATTTGCCAGCTGCTTATACTGTAAAACATTCTTGCTCCATCCTTTCCCCTTCCCACCTTCATCTCAAAGCCAGTGGCAGAAAGACTGATGAATACTGTAACTCTGAATGGGAGCACCTACTCCCACTCTCTCATGCTGTGTGCCTCTGCCAGAGGATCTAGCTGTGATCAAGCCTGTTCAATGTTCAGCTGATTCTGTACTGTCACCTAAACACCTTCCTTAGGTGAAGCAGTGTCCTTGAGTACTTTACAACCACTGCCAAATGAACATCTCAATGGTAAATACCTTAGAAGCCATCAATAGGTATCAAAGTTCTGCAGAGATTCTTTAGTGATCACATTTTTATTTATGTAAAATTCCATGGAGTTTTTTATTTACTTTGCCTACAGGTTTTAGTTTTACCATCTGGAGTCAGTACAACAGACCAGAAAGGGGCATAAAATCAGGATTCCTCCATGGCCTGACTTTGAAAGAATAATGATGGGATGTAGAAAGAACTACCCCTTCCACAGTACACTAGGACTGATCTCAACATACAGTTGTGGAAATCAGGGAAGAACAGGCCACAGGCACGTAATTTTCCAAGCTTTTCTAGCCATGAGAACAACGTCAGATGCTCTTCTCACCCACAAAATGACCAACTGGCCAGCTGTGAGTTTGTCTCTGTCATTTCATATATAGAGCACCTATTGATTAGTTGATTCACCAGCATCATCAAGTAGCTTTAAGTAATATACCTGGTTATGTCCTTAGAAATGAATGAAACAGCCAACTATTTTATCAAATATTTAGAAGTAGATGACAAATGAAAAAGAAATTTTCTTTCCATGCTTAGAGGAAGAGACATAGTCATAAATTCAGTACCTGTTCTACACAGGATAGTTACTTCTATTCATCTTCCCACTGAGCTATTCCTAATTTGGGTACTAGCCCTTGGTCTTGTTCTCCATTGCTCAGACTTTAGTTTGTCAGGCGTAGTCGTCTTTTCCTCTAGGTTTACCATCTGAGTACCTCATGTGGAGTATTGTGTCCAGTTCTGGGCTCCCCATTTCCAGAGAGACAGAGTTCTACTCAAGAGAGTCCAGTGAAGGGCTATGAGGATGATTGGGGGACTGGAACGCCTGCCCTGTGAGGAGAGGCTGAGAGACCTGGGGCTGCTTAGTCTGGAGAAGAGAAGACTGAGGGGGGATCTAATTAATGTGTATAAATATATGAGGGCTGGGTGTCAAGAAGAAAAGGCCAGCCTCTTTTCACTTGTGCCCTGTGATAGGACACGGGGCAATGGTCACAAGCTGGAGCACAAGAAGTTCCACCTCAACATGAGGAAGAACTTCTTTACTGTAAGGGTTCCAGAGCACTGGAACAGGCTCCCCAGGGAGGTTGTGGAGTCTCCTACCTTGGAGACTTTTAAGACCCATCTGGATGAGTTCCTGTGTGACCTGCCCTAGACTAGATGGTCCTGCTCTGGCAGGGGAGTTGGACTCAGTCTCCAGAGGTCCCTTCCAACCCCTAACATTCTGTGATTCTGTTTCAATCTCTCCCCGCTGATTGGTTTCTTCTCTCCCTGTCCTTTGACTCTCCATTTTGGTCACCCCACAACTAAAATCTGTTTTACTAAATAATAGCAACCATAATTAATAAAGTCCTCACAGATTTTAAACAATTAAAAACTGTTAAAAATTAGAAACGAGGTAAACCTGATAAACTATACTAAGTATTCCAATAAAAGGTGGGTACATTTTCTAAAAATAAACCAAAGTAACAAAACAAATGTAAGTAACAAAACCCCAAAAAATCACAATTAGAGTTACCTTTTGTTTGTGGTAGGCTAATAAATGTTTACGATGTTTTTCTTGAAATTCTAAAATCTAAAAATAAACACAGTTATTTCAGGCTTCACCTAATTACATTTATGCAACCTCAGAAAAAAAGAAAGTGGTGGAGAACCACTACTTCACAGCATTCAATTTTTTTTCTGTATTTTAATAAATATTTAACATACCTGCTCTAAAGCCTTTCCAACAAATCATTTTAAGTTATTATCATGGATAAAGTGTTATAAAGTTTATTTCATCTAGTATGATCAGCTCTAGAGTTGGTAGATTTATTTCCCTGAACTTGTGTTTTAATTCTGTTAAATAATAAGGTAAAGACATTGGAAAACTAGTTTAGCTGTGGTGTTTCTTATTCATTACTGCTAAGTAAACACATAAAATTAATGGCAACATAAAATTACTGTGTCTTACTGGCAATTATAACTTGCCTTGTAAAAATCTCCTCTTAATTAAAAAATAATTGTTAGGCACACTGTCTGGTGGTGTGTAAGCACTTCCTGTGTCCAAATGAGGATCATAAACCATGACAGATTAAAAGTAAAAACATACAAGGTAGGAAAGACAAGAGCTCGAGGAACAAATTACAATAGGCAATAATTTACTAATAAATCTTTCTTCTCACTTATAAGGAAACTGCCAGAAAATATGTAGGGATAGAAACAGAAGAGAAGAAACACTGAGAAGATAAACCAAGAGTGGAATATCTAATTGAAATGGCAACTTTTTATTCACTGTAGAAGAGCCTGAGAGGTTCCCATTGGAACTTGCCAAAGGATGAGAAGTATCTGCAGAAGAGCTGATGGAAGGAACAGCTACTCAGAAAGTAATGGCTCTGAGTTGCCTCCCACCACTCAGAAAGGAAGTCTTGGGTCTGTTAATGAGAAATCTGTGAAAATGTCCTTTCAGTGCCCGGTACCAGTCAAAAAAGCAAATTCTAGATCTTAGAGGTGGTTAAAAAGGAATAGTACAGGGAACAACAATATTCCACTTTTTAAAATGTATGTTCTATAACTTGAGTCTGTTTAACATCTCAGAAAAGATATGGTAGGTCTGGAAATAGTTCAGATTAATAGGAAGTATGTGAGAGCTTCAGTAAAAGAATGACCACACAGAATATGAGTCTTCATGGCTGAAAAATAGAGAGTTCAAGAAGGGACTCATTAGCAGACTAAAACTAATGATAAGCACGGATGAAGCGCATGTGAGCGGTTACTTCTTCCTCTAGAATGGGACTGAGAAGTATCATCTGAAATTAGTATGCAGCAGGTTAAAACCTGGAAACGGAGATCATCATCACACAGTGTATATAACCTGTGGACCTCTCTGCCATAGGATGTGATAGATGCTAGATATTCAGAAAACAACTTGACAATTACATGAGGGAAAATATCCCCCCAAAAGTTTTTAATAGAAAGGCACCAGCCCCACCTTGAGAGAGCTCTGTGCCACAAACTGCTGAAAGCAAAGAGGCTGTTCTGAAGATGTATCACTCTGTGTCAGCCTTGCTCTCATGTGCCTTCCTAAGCGCCCACAGTCGTGACAGGGGATTAGGTTAGAAAAACTTTTGCCCTAACAGAGTACAAGTTGTTCTTACATCTTTTGATGCTAGTAGAAGTTCCAAACCTACCTTAATTCCTTAATTACACTTTAATCTATGGGAAACGTGTTATCTCAGGACACAGAAATTCTCTCCCTCCCCAGTCTCTTGAGGCCAGGTGCTCTTCTTTCCTTCATTTGGCACATGACAGAAGTCTGCTTCCACGTGTGATTAGTGCTGTAGCCATCTGGATTTGTTCACTTTACAGAATCACTACTGATCATTGTACATGTTGTTGCAAAGTGTGTATGGAAGGACAGAGGAAGGCTTCTTGTTTACCTTGTGACACCTATACATTTTAGGAGGAGGAATGCTGAGGAAAGGGAACATGCTCAGTGCTGGAGAAGTCTGTGAAGCATAGAGCAGAGCAAATGTGAATCAGTAATCCTCACTGGAGAAAGCAGGTGACCTTCACTGAGCCACTTTCTTGATGGATCAGGAAGCTCACCACAAGCTCAAACAAGTACCAGCCCAAGGGAGATGAGAATACACAACGAAGGCTGCAGGTGGCTACAGGGAGAATGTAGTACTACTACAGTCCAATCTAGAGTGGTTGGAACTGCCACTGAAATGCTCAATAAGAGGGACAAGGACAATTCCTAAAACCAAGCTGAAGAGGTGCAGAAAATGAGGTAAAGGAAGTTTACATGTATTCATTTAACCCAGAAAGCTACTAAAGTTCTGGACTGGAAATTAAGCTTGAAGGAAGAGATCCTGTCTGGAGCTCACAGAAAGCAAGGAGGAAAATTTTCCTTGGAATCATTTATTGCATCTGTCTGAAAAAAAGCAGACCTCTTTTGATTGAAGAAGAGAGATAGAGAAAATACATTCAGCTCAGGACTGTAACCAGCTTGGGTTTTCTGTGTAACTTTTTATTGCTATAATTAGGGCAAACTGTCTGGGCATGCTTAAGGTTCTGGCAGATCTAATTTTTCACTGCATGACATTGAAAGTGATTTTACACTATTAAAATAACCAGACCAGTCATCCTCAGAGAGAGTTTGAAAACATAACCAGTGACTGTGATGAACAATTTGTGCTTTCTTAAGAACCTTAAAACTGTGGAATTAAGGAAGTAAAGATGGTAATGAGTATATATTCATTTTCAAGCATTCATTTATATATTTTTCGCATTGACATAAAAATCACTAGAAGTTGCTTATTATTTTATGGAGTTTAAAAGTTTCAAGGCAGATTCACCTGTGTTATCTCTTTTGAATATTTCTTGCATAATGTATCTATTCCCATGAACAGTGACTGAATATCAGGACTTGTCTAACAAGAAAAGAAAATATACTAAGGTTAGCATTTTTATTTGCAAGTTACATTAAATAAAAATTAACATTTTTTAAGGTGTTCCTTAAAATAGCTGATATATATAAATAAAAAATGGACAAATCAAGACCTGGAGGATATAGAAATTGAAAACAAACCCAGTTTTATTTAATGCCCTATTAACTATCTGGAAGGCTCTGTGCTTTTTGTTAAATGGATTACACACACATAACTAAGACAATAATGATTTCCAGAGGAAAACATTCAAGGAAGATGTAGTGGCTCCCCGGGAGAGGCATTGCCTGCAGACCAACAGCCAGGATTCTGGCAATCTCTTTCTGAGCTTTTCGGTGCTCACCATCCCCATCCTGATGGATGCATCTTATAATCAGTTTTGTTTCAAAGTCCTTTTTCAGAATAGTTCCAGTGTGGACTAGGATCCCTTTAAATCTCCTTCCTGTTGGGCAGCAGAATGCTATCCTAGCATACATAAAAAGGCCCTAAAATAACATCTGAATCTTTCAAGTATTTTTATGACTGAGACTTTTAATCTGAGATCATCATGTAGCCTAATCTGTGTTTTCAGAAACTGCTGAGTAACCATTCAGTGTTAAACTGTCATTGTATATTTATTACTTATAGTGAGAAAGAAATGCTACAAAATATAAATTTCAGAATGACAGTGACATTCGTACATCTAGCCAAATCTATAAAGCAATGTAAAAAATTTAGCTCTTACTTTAATCCAGAATACATGCATTCCTAATTTATTCATAAGAAAAAAAAAACCAACAAAATAGGATCCCAAAATAGTTACGCTATTTATAGTACTAAGTTAAAATAATTTTCTGTTACCAAGAACTAACAGTGATCACATTTCAATAATCTTCTACTGTAAGAACAAATAGCTTTTACTGAGGAACCTAGCCCAAAACCCCAAAACATCTACCTGTAAACCATAAACTGGAACATTCTCCTTGATATGCTGTGATTATATAATAGAAGATAGGTTTATGACTAGCTAAGAGTTGATTAAAATAAAGTAAAATCAATCCAAATACTTAGATGATAAAAGAAGGTTGCCTCAGGGGGAAAAAAAAAAAGCACCCTTCATTGTAAGGAACCACCTTTCAAAATCTAGTCAAAAAGAACTGAAACTGTTACAGGCAAAATTAGTCCCAGAAGCAGTAAAGAATCTCAAAAAGTTTGAAAAATTGAAGAACAGTGAATTACTGAAAGAAATAATAAATAGACCACTTGTGAATGATGTTTTCTAAGCTAAGAAAATAGGAAGATAATTGCTATCACTTATTTAAAAACATTGCATTGATATTAAAAAGAACTGGCAATGCACAAACATAAAGAGACAAGTTTTTCTTCCTCCAAAAATAATGTAACACTAATTTGTAGCAAAATATCCAAGACAGAACAGCAGCTGTATTTGCCAAACCTATTTTAAACATGTGCCTATATGATATCTTTTTAATAATAAGAAAGATTTGAGTCTCATATGTATGAAAAATCATTACATGAGGGACTAAATTAATAACCTGGATTTGCAACAGCTTTATATCTGTTGTTCCTCATATTCTGACAGCAGCTACTTCAATGTCCTGTACAGTAGTTTTGAAAAAAGATGGCATGTGCTCTTTGGTTAGTGTAGGACTGTGCATGTGGCTGCCAAATGCACTTCTGATTATTGCTGAGCTGTACTTTTGATTATTGATGAGCTGTATTTGCTTTTCTCTCATCAGGGGAACTAAACTGCTTTTCCTTGCTTTCCCCAGCTAATAATTTTTCTAGAATTCACAGAGGAAATTAATTGTATTTGAGACTTCCCCTGCTCTTTTGAATTTGGTTGACATTAACCAAAGCATTCAAAAATTTCCACAGGGTGGACTGACAGACTGAGAAAAACAGATAGACAGCACAGTCTAACCCGTTTATGGTATGTAAATAAAGAAGATACAAATCAGACAATATTTCATCAAGAAAAAGTTAACGTATTCCTAAAAATAACTTTAGCATCTTCAGAATGTATTCATAGGAGGCAAGCTCTAGAAACTTTAGGGACCTAACAAAGCAATAACCTTGGCTTAAGTACATATCAGATCTTAAAAAAAATATAAAAAAAAAAAAAAACCAGACTTGTTGTTGTTGTAAAATGTCTTTAAAATAAAGGTTTGTAGAACACTATTTATATTTTATCTGCTGCATGTAGAAGTAGCAGATGTTAATATGATATTCTGAAATAATGAAGACTGAGATTCTGATTCATCACAACACTTAACCATCCTGTGGGGAAAAAGCAAATAGGGATCAGGAGATACAGAAGATATAAAGGTGACAAGATTACTCTAAAGATGAGAATCTTTAATGTCTGGATGTTGATTGCCCCAATATACAATTTAATGAGGAGGTTTAACACATTTATAGGACCTCCTACTCATTGGGAATTCTTCCATAGCATCAGGCTCATAAAGGTTACCAGGTATATTTCCATTCAGGTTCCTGAATTATAGAGCCACAACTTTTTTATATGCATCTTTAATTATCATTCCAATCATTTTATCTGCTCTTAATCAAGGCTAAGCAATCATGAACGTCTTTTTCAAAGAATATGATAATTTACTTCCTTCCAGTCCTCCAGAGCAGTGGCAGGTTCTAATGATACATCTACAATCTAACACTTTCGTTAGTATCCCAATTATTGCATTTTTAAATCCATTCAGTATTTTATTAAGCAAATTACCGAATTCTGTTTAAATGCTCTAGTTTAAGACTTGTCTAACTTAAAATAAGCTTTTTTTTGTTTGTTTTTTTTTGAGTGAGATGTTGGACAAGATGACCCCCAGAGGCCTCTGACAACCTAAATTATTCTGTGACTGAAATTCAGAAGAAAACTTACAGTCAGGGTAGGCTATTGAAAACATTAAAATACCTGCTTTAAAAGTTTTAAGAGCTTTTTAAAAAAAAAAAAAAATCTTGTCTGTTCCTTTGAACTATGTTTAGATTTTGTTGTATTTCTGTAAACTTTTTTTTTTGTAGCATTGTCTTCACTCTGTTACAGTTCTGCAAGATTTTGTGTTTACATATATGAAATATAGTGTAACAGGTTTTTCACTTTTTTATATACAGTATGTAGAGGTAGAGAATTCTGTATTTAGATAAACATCAGATCAGTTTTAAAAATATCTAGAGAAATCATGCTCTTCTCCAAGGTCACCTCTTAGGTTTAGTCCCAAATTGTCCTTTTTTTCATATGTGATTCCCTTGTAGCCTTGTAGGACCTTATGTATTAGCTATATTGAATGCCCTTAGAATTTTTCCTGTATCCTTGTAAAGCAGGTTCATCTCCTATTTAGGCATCAGTATAGGAAAATATACATGTTTTCACAACAGATTTACAAAATCAGCTGAGAAGATGACTCCTGAGAGAAGTAAGAATATTAAATCTTTCTAGTGATTTCTCAAGAAAGGGAATTGAAAGTTACAAATTCTCTAATGAATAACAAGATTTCCCAACAATATTTCAGATCCCCTTTTAATCACATAGCCATGAGGAAAACAGTTAAGTTTAAGAGAAAATGGAAAAAAAAAAAACAAAACCAATACACTTGAAAACATTGACACTCCACCATGCAGATTTTCGACTCAGCCCATTACATGAAATTATTAATTACAGTCCACTTTCTCTGATATACAAATGCCAAAGTCAATAAATGTTGGTTTGTTTTTATTTTTTTTTCACATTTCAAAAGTAGTCACAGGTGTTATGCAGCAGCCAGTCATGGTTCTATAAAAGGTTGGGTTGACTTACAGTCCAGCAGAATCTGAAAACCTTGAAAGTCTCCATAGGCTTTTATTTGAAGAAATCCATAAAACTGAAAGCTGCATAGCGCACAAGTGTCTAAGTCTACCAACCTATCACCAGTGAATATTCATGTCACTGTTGGCAAACAAGAGGGAAGTATTTTGTAATGCAAATAATTTAGCTGTTAAACAAACTACAGATTAATGTAATATTAAATGTAATGTAATACTAAAGCTTCGTTTACCTGTTTTGAAAGTACTAACGTACGACAAGGAGTTCTACAGACCAAACATTCATCTTTTTTGCCTGTAAGGTAAAGACACTTTTAAAATATACATCAAACTGAAAAGGTACTGGATACACTTTTAATGGAATTTGGTGCCTAAGCCTCTGTTTGGGGCTTGTGGAAGGAATCTGAAGGTTATACAACAGATACAAATAAGCATGAATAAAGAATTTGAATTTATAACCATTATACACAGTTGCACAGGGAAAATGTGTGTGAATGTCATCGGATCTCCTGCATTCATGTAAATAATTTTCTGAATACTATTAGTGTCACTGAATGCAGGTGACTTTTAGTTCTGTTGATTTAAGTAGGACAACTTGCCTGGTTTAATTAAATGCATCCTTAAGTGCACTAATGAATAAGAGTCAACCAGATATGCAACTTTTTAGACTGAGGTGCAGTCTGGCTCGCTTAATAAAATGTACGAAATCTTGACTTTAAAGAATTAATAATTTTATCTTGTGAATTTTTCCAGTGAAAAATTAATCCTATCACTTTAAAAAACATTTTTTAAACATTTCTAAATATCTCTCTTTGATTATTTGTAAACATTAGAAAATATTTATAGTAAATGTATATTGTTACAATATTTATAATTGATAATGTTACTGCCTGCTTCCTTGCTAAGGATCAATGTTTATAAACATCTTTAAAGAGTAATACATTTTAAACCTGATGTCTTCATTATTATTGAATTCACAGCAAGACATATATAATGTCTCAGGTTTTCACCTGCCAAACAATAGTAAAAGCAGAAAGCTCTTGTTCAGGTTCTAGAAGCGTTCAAGTTATATTTAGAGGCTGTATTTTATGATACTCTTACCTCAACGGCAACTCTGTGAAAACTTTTAGTCATAAGTTTTTAATCTTGAAATACAGACCAATCATTTATTCTGTGTGCCCTTACAAAACCCAGGGCATTTAGCATGACCTCAAAGGGAAAAAAACAATGGTATTTGTCCGCTTTTTTTTTTTTATTTTTAAGTAGTAACTTCCTTCTTTCACTATCTTGTCCACAGATTTTCATATAAGCTCATGACAGGAGTCCCAGAATACGACTCAGGATTTGCATACAACAAACAAGAGATTCAAAACATCACTTCCTATCTTTCTAAAGCTACTGAAAATTTTCTAGTGTTTCAGTGACAATACTGAATACTATCTTAAAACTACTAGCAAAACCCATCCTGAAATAATCCTATTTTGCAAATTGCTCTTTTGCTACCAAAAAACAATGCCCAGATTTATCTGGAGGCAAACCCAGGTGATTTTTACTATCAAAAGAAAATCAATAGCAAGAATTGAAAAGGTTTATCAATAACATTTGATTGACAAGAAGAAATGCCCAGGCCTTTCTTTTTACCACTGTGAGCCAGAAGTGCTGGTGGTTAAGGGAAGTGTGTCCCCGCCAGTGCTACCTGACGCTGAAGCAGAGAGCCCAGCGGCCCTTGCCTGGGGGAGCCATTACCTTTCTGGAGGCAGATCTCACAGATGACATGGCCGCAGCTTGTGAGGCTGAACTGTGGGGTGGGCTTGCGGGGCTCGAGGAAGCAGACGTTGCAGAAGATGGGGACAGCCATGGGGCAGGAGGGCCTGCCAGGGCGCGGGTGGCTGAGGCAAGCACTGACCCTCCCTGCCAGCCCCGGGCGAGGCCTACAGGCCTCCCTCTGCCATGTTCCCCAGCCCAAGGCGCTGGCGGGCTCTCAGGGGAGGAGTGCGGCACCCCCACCGGAGAGGCCCTGAGGGCAGCAGAGTTTGACCCACACACCCCCAAATAAAGGATTTTTTCTGGCCTTTCACTGCCAAACTGCAGAGGTGCCCATGCAGAGGATCCTCTCTGAGAGATTTCCTGCTCCCCTCCCCAGACCAGCCACCAGGGCTGTGGGCAGGTGCTTCGCCAGGAGCGCCGTCTTCCCACCTCACAGGGGCAGCCATGAAACGGGGGCTGCAGTCAGGACAGCACCTGGGTGTGAAATGGTGGCAACTTTTCACTCTTTTTCAATGCCGCCACCTCAGAAGGTTATTTATTTACTGTCATGGGTTTGTTGCTGCTTCTTTTGGTGAGGAAAAAAGAGTAAACAAAGTTTTGATTTTCATTTCTTAGACAGGAAAAAAAAAAAAAAAACAAACAAAAACAAACAACCCCCAGACCTTGCTAATTTCCCTTGAAAATTTTAGGAGAAAATTTCCTTACAGACCTAATTGCAGTGCAGGCTGTAGCTCTGGGAATGACAGAGCCATGGACTGCACAGGACAAATCTCCAGCTTTTAACTTCATAAAATATACTGCCCCCAAAGTACTTCCCAGAAGAGCTATGATTCAGCTTCTGCTTTATAAAGTTAATTAAAAATCTGAAGGAGACTGAAAACATTTCATCAAAGCAAAGATATTTAATTATTATAGATAAAGAATGAAGCACTCTCAAGCTATAGTCAAGGCTCCAAGTCTCAGTGCTGGTTTGAGTATAGACCCAGTTAATATAGAGGAACTTAATCATGTCCTTTGTCAGTTCTGACATGGGGCCTGTCGTCTTGGTTTAAAAGCTTAAGTGTATGGTAAGTGAGATGTGTTAAGTTTGTCACTGGGATGTCATTAAGAGTCTGTCCTGGTTTCAGCTGGGATAGACAATTTCCTTCCTGGTAGCTGGCATAGTGCTGTGTTTTGAATTTAGTGTGAGAATAATATTAGTAACGCATCAATGTTTTAGTTTTTCCTAAGTAGCACTTATCCTAAGTTAATGATTTTTCAGTTTCCCATGCTCTGGCAGCAAGCAGGTGCTCAAGAAGCTGGGAGGAAGCACAACCAGGACAGCTGATCTGAACAATCCACAGGGATATTTCACAATGTAGAACATAATGCTCAGTGTTGCTGGAGGGAGTCTTCTGCTGACTGCGTGCCCAGCAAAGAAGGATATTATTATTAACAGGCAAACCAACAGCCAAATTCCTCCCTCTGCTCTTACATCATATACCAGAGATCTAAGGTGCCAAACCACCAAAGGGAGAAATATCTCAATACACTCACTCTATAGGATGTGAAGAAGGGAGCAAGCTGACCAAAGATCCAAGCCATGGGAGATGGAATTAGCCAGGCCACAAGTCCAATAATGCAGTAGGCACTTGTCTTTCTCTCTGCCATCCTAGGAGCTCTGCTTCTTATACACAGTTGGGAAGCCCTTCAGACAACCAGAATCCCCACACAGCAAATCTACTCTGCAAGCAAACCTCCCAGCCCCACTGCAAGCAGAGTCAGTTCTTATGTAGTTGGCTTCTTGCCCTGCCTCCAAGTTAATGTGGAAGGTGGGGGCACCTGGTGGTGATCTCCTCACCAGTTCCCACCAGACCCTATCTGAAAAACAACCAGGAGGGTCCTTCTGGCCTGGTTGTGGACATCATCCCTATGCCAACCCTCGTTCAGGGCTGGGGGTATAACTCCAGCACTTCAGGGAGTCGGCTGGGAGGGGTGGGTTAGTGCTTGGGTATTGGTCAGCGGGTGCTGAGCAACAGCATTGTGCATCCTTTGTCTTTTCTTGGGTCTTTTTTCTCTCTCTTTTTGTTGCACACCTTTTTATTACAACTGTTATTGTTGTTACTGTATTTTTAAATTATCATTGTCATCATATTTTAGTTTAGTTATTAAACCATTCTTATCTCAACCCATAAATTTTACTTTTGCTTCTTCTAATTTTTGTCACATCCTACTGGGATGGGGGAGAAGTAGGCAAGTGACTGTGTGGTGCATAGCTGCTGGCTGGGGTTAAATCACAACAGAGCCTTACATTAAATACCAGCTAAAGTCTGAACCACCACCTCGTAACAACCCTTTATTAAATTTTCTTCTTGCACCTCATGTACTGTATGGTTGTAACACATCTTTCCTTCTTTTCTACCATGAAAGATGTTATTACAAGACATGTTGTGAGTGCTCTGTAAAGATGAATTTAATAACACTTATTTACTGGGCATTTCAAGTGACAGCTCTGAAGTCTCTGAATTTTTAAATATAGGACACACCTCAGTGAGTAGCTTTATGAGATTTTATTTTGATTTATTTGGCCTTTAGAGCCTTGCTTTTTGTCTCTACTTTGTATCAAATTTATGGATTCTCACATACTCACAGCTGTATTTTCATTCCCGTACTGTAAATGTAAGTGAACTTAAAGGGCAATGTAATTTCCTTGCTAATGGAAAGGAAAGGTGAGAAGATAGGAGGAAAAAAAAAAAAAAAGGCAAGCAGTGCCTTTAAAACAATAATTGGTCTACAGATATTTCAGCTTTCACTACCTTTGGGACTAGTGAAGGGATTGGAAAGACGAAGTAGGAAGCCAAACCACAACACTCTACTATCACAGTGTTATCTAGAAACTTCTCCAAGTTCAAAATCTAGTAAGTTTTTCTAGTCAGTCATGTTATATTTTCTGAATCAATATAAAAATAATTCTCCAGCATACAAACAGTCTGAAGAATTTAGTGTAAGAATAGCTCAAAATAAAATATATAGACACAAACTCAGTGATTATCAAGAAACCTGTAGTTTCGTTTAATTTGGCATACTCTATAAAGATTAAAATGTATATAAACAACTTGTGGGAGGCATCTAATCTCAACTTTATAGCCGAATATTTAGGGCTGATCTGGAAATAAAAAGTAAGGACAGTTCCAAATTGTCTGTCTGGATCTCCCTCTTCTATGGTAATTGGTGCAACTACTGATGGTAATCTTAAGGATGGGCTCCACTGTCACTTAAAACTTTGAATATTTTAAAAGAAAATAGTCATAATTATATTTGAGGAAAATCTAGATGTTACAGATACACAAATTGAGTTCAAGATGCTTTCACCAAATTAACCACTGCAGAGAATACATTTATATCCCTGCCTGCTCTCTGAACCCCTGTCAGGCTGAAATGGTGAATTGTTGTGGTAGTACCGAATAAGATTACTAAGCAAGTAGAGAACTTAACATATAAGGAGACTTTTTTTAGATTCCTGTTTTAGATTTTAAAATCCTAACTTGAAATGCTGCCTTAGTCACTGAGACCTTCTTCTAGATTTAGCTTTACATCTATAGAGGGAAAAAGTCTGATAAAAGACAGGGTTCAAGAGGTGAAATGTAAAGCGTTGCCAGAGGTTGTGATGTAGATGGAGAAATCAGACTTTAGAGTAAGAGTCAGAGTAGAAGATGAGAGAAGCTTGAAAGCTATATGCAACCAATTTCCTCACAGATGCAGGGTTTCTTCGGATGTTAGATCTTACATGGCAATTTTTCAATCTGTGCATTTGCTTTATAAGACTTAAACAAGTTTCTTAGATATAAAGAAATCTCTGAGAGATTTCATTTGCCAGATTCCAATGGAGATGAGAATTACTGTTTGTACAATAGCCCACCACAAAATATTGCTGTTGGTTTCTTCACTTGTCTTCCGAAATTTTTCTTCACGTTCCTAAAGAAAAAAAAAAAAGCATAATTATTACCTTTTGGCAAATGTATGTTCTGTGCTGCTATCCAGGTGACTAGGCAGGCATCCCACTTCTGCATGGTAACAAACAAACACTTTTTTCATGTTGATAAAAATGAAAGTTTGTTCTCATCCCTAAGATAGGTATCTTTACAAATCAAAACTGAGAAGGAGACAAACTGTCCTGAAGCAGGAAGGCAAACAGAGCTTCCCCTTGTTCACAAAATGCATATTGTGTTCAATACATTCCATTAGTACAGGCTTCAGCCTTTTTAGGATTACAGTCACTTCCATATCGCAGTCAAGAACCTTTTGGCAGCCAAATTTCTTTTCTAGGTAACTAGCTTCTATATTTCAGTCTGACTGCCTCCATACACATAGAAAAGTGGAGACAATGAGTGCACACTTGTTTGAGGGAGGGCTTTGTTTATTACCCCGTGGAGATACATAAATAATACACTTTTCCTTACCCACTCCGATAAAGTTAATGCACACACACCAGCATGGAAACAACAGCTGGAAACAACAGCTGGCAACAACACCAGCAATGGTACCTGCCACCTGCTCAGCTGCTGTTACTGAATCTGACCAAGAAAACTATGCTTGGAAATTCCTGCTTTAAAATAACACCCGTTGCTGTAACCATGAGTTCACAGGGATTAATTACTTTTTATGTTCCATCTTAAAAATATTTTGCAAGATAATACAGGTTATTTTGGTTAAATACCAATAGATTTTTATGAGTTAGTTAAAAATAAAAGTGCAATTAAATAATAAACCTCATAACACTTTATAAATCAATAAGACTATGTATAATATTTTTAACATTTCCATTAGGAAACATACATACTCTTTCATAGTTTTGTTCCTTGGATACGTGACGAATTTCCTCAATTAGATGTTCTAGTCTTAAGGTAACTTCATTCACTTTGTCTTTGGCTTGAACAACAGATTCATCAAAAAAATGTTCTCCAACTCTAATGTCCAAATGGATACGCTGAAGATAAAAAAAAATATTTTCATTACTGTGTCTCATGTTTTCAAACTTCCTTAAATAAAAGAATCAGTGGATAATTTCCCTTTGAGCTCATTACAGGAAAATAGTTTTAATTGCTTTATTTT